ATCTATATCGAAAGTCACCCGAAATAGATCTATACATTATTAGGAAAAAAAAAATTGAACAAAAAAGTTAGTTAAGTAATGATTTCATTGTGTAGTGTAGTTCTATGTACGTGGTGCGGACTGTGGAGTAAGGCGAAAATGGTCAAACCGAAAAGAGACTTTAGAGTAAGACTTACAAAAAAATTAAGAAGACGCAATGCAACAATATTATTTTCATCCGATCCAAACTTCTAAGTTGACATTTCATGGTTTTTTTTGTTAAATTCACTAATCGTTGTGATTCCTAACCGAATTCATTACTCGAGAAAAGATAAGAAAAAAGTAAAATAAAAAATCTTGCACAACAGAAAATATAGTAGATTGGTCAAGTGAAAACTCCATTACCTCTCTGTAAATGACAACCGCGTAAAACCGAATCTAGAAAATGTCAATCTTCTTCTTCAAAGCATGTCTTCTCCAAGGCAGGTTTTAAGATCTTCTCCAAGATAGGTTCTGAGATCTCTTCATGTTGAAAATGAGAAAAACACAATTGAAAGAATTTAGAAATACTAAGAGCGGGAAAATATATAACTGAAAGAGATGACAAATAAATATTTACATTCTGTAACCGTATGGCCATGTCAGCTCCACGAGCTGAGTTTTTTGTTTTTTCTCATACTAGGGAAGTTGACTCCGGTTGAGTCGTTTTGATGCTGAGTTCTGGTTGTTCACTTCGACAACAAGGAAACTGATTTCGGTTTAATTTGCTTGAACCTAAGGAAGTTGATTCCGATTAATTTTCTTCATTGATTCCGGTTATTTGTTAGTGAATAACCAGGAGGATATTTGCTTCCGCGATGTTGGTAGACCGAAACCATTTGAGGATTCCAACCATTAGAATCAAAACTGACGATACCTTCGAGTTACCATTATTGAGATATTGTTTGTACAAAATGACACAACTTTATGAAACCTTTAGTTTTAGACACTTTATGCAAACGGTACATGGACTTAAGCCCATTATTATCAAGAAAATATGGTCTTATGGGCATTTAACCTACTATCACTTAAACAATTTTAGTTGTTTAGGTTTTAGTTTTTGATCTTGCTGTAGATTTTTTTTTTTTTTAAAGCATGATTGTTTTTTTTTTGTTTAGTTTGTAACTTTTAACTATAAATGTTTTTTCAATTTACTTATAAGATAATTTTGTATAAGAGATAAGATAATGTTTTATGTATTTAGTTTTTAGCGAGATGGCAAAGTCCACCCTTAGATTTATGTAAATGATTCTCTTACTCAACTTCTTTATCGATCTCTCTGTTGGTGTTTATAATTTATTGTAATAGATGAGTGGTTTCATCTAATCCTGTGTAAATTCTATTATATCTATTCAAGCAAACCTTTTAACAAAAACAATAAAAAATGCAATAATTAATGTGAAGCTTAGCCATTACTTATTAACAATTTCATTATGGAAAGCTGCGGTAGGAGAGATGCAATTCAAATTTCACAAAAGAGAAAGAAATTAGTGTGCATAACATAACAAGGCTAAATCAAAGCCCAACACGGGAGCCCACTTAAGGGTCCGTTAATTGAAAAACTATGTGACGTTAAATTTATATTGAAAGCAAAAAAA